TGTGTGTGTTTGGGTTCTGGTGGACCAGTACCTTCTCCAGGGACGGAACCAGCAGGTGTGTGTGTTTGGGTTCTAGTGGACCAGTACCTTCTCCAGGGACGGAACCAGCAGGCCTCTCCACTTGCTGTAGTTTTCCTCGCTGAAGAAGTCGTACTGCGCCTGCGCGGCCTGCATGGCTGCAGCTCCGGACCCGGGTTCGAAGCTCCGTGGCGGAACTCTCTGGCTCGGTTGGACGGTTTACATGAACACTCCGCGGGCCTGTCCCGGTCCAGCGTCCCGGGTGGAGCCGGGTCTATCCTCCGGGCGTCGCTGCGACCATCCTCGGCCTCTTGGAGGCGGACGTCGGCAGGACGCTCCGCGGCAGACCGTTAGCGGCGCGGCTCGGTTCGCCGGCTCCGTTCAGCAGGAGTACATGGTCCTTTTAGCCTGTTAGCTTCTGGATGCCCGCCGACAACACGGTAGGTTTCGGTCCCGGTACCACCAGTCTGGGTCGCTGGTGGACTGACCCTGATTGTTACCGGGAGTTCGGCTCCGTCCCTTTGGATCCTCCGAATCTGTGGCCCGGAACGTGTGTCTGTCAGGCTCCGGTTCCGGGCCCGGGCAGGGGGACACTCACGGAGCTCGACTGTTGTTGTGGCTGTGACGGTAACTACACGGTGCTAAGTTGCGCATGCGTGGTTCGCCGGTTGTGACGTACATAAACGAGTAAGTGAGAGCGCGCCTCAATGCGCGCGGCTGGCGGCGGTACTGCAGTCATAGATGTATGTATGTATGTTTGTATGTATGTTTTATTTATTCATTTCATTTCATCCAAACAACAAATATAATACAATTTAAAGAAAAGAAAAAAGATATACAATCACCGAAATAAAATGAAAGGCAGCAGAAGAAGAATGAATTCTTATAATATCTGCCCCTTGTCCCCAAAATATATTCCAAACAAAATTACTATACAAAAGCAAACTAGATCTGAGTCCGATCACTTTACCTTAAATATTGTTAAGTAAAGCCTAACTATTATTCTCACGTGTTTCAGCACCGACTCCTGTGTTCCTCCTGTGTCTGAAAAAATAAAATTAAAATTAAAAATAATAATAATTTAAATTTGTACGCATCCTTTATGATTGTCTATTGTAGTTGTACACTGTTGTCATCACTCTGTTAAAATTCAGGTCTCTCTTGTAAATGAGTCCCCGAGGCTCAATGGGGTCCATCCATCCATTATCTTTTACCCACATCTTCCATTTTGTGTTACGGGGGTCGCCGGTGTCCATGTCTAGAGGTCATTGTGCGAGGGGCGGGGGACGCCCTGGACAGGTCTCCAGTCCATCACAGGGACGCATAGAGACAAACTAAACAAACAACCATTCACTCTCTCACTCACACCTAGGGACAATTTAGAGTTACCAATCAGCCTAACATGCATGCTTTTGGTCTGTGGGAGGAAATTGGAGTGCCCGGAGAAAACCCACGCATGCACTAAGAGAACATGCAAACTCCACCCAGAAAGGCCCCTGGACCGGGATTTGAACAGGCAACCTTCTCGCTGAGAGGCAGCGGCTGCAGTTGTGCCACCGTGCTGCCCGCTCAATGGAATTAACCTATATAAATAAAGGTTGAATGAAAAAACGTCCCCGGTTTGGTTTTGGGCTCCTTCCTCGCCCTCCACCACTTGCCCACCTGTAAGACTTACTGTACCTGGGACTCTCTCCTCTGTGATTATTGGAACCATTGAACCTCCGTTCCCACGACGACCCCTTACTCCAACTGTAAGAGAGAAATTACATCTTGAATTATCCCAAGAATTACATCCACCAAACTAACTCTTATCCTTATTATCCAGGGTTCCAGTCCGAGCCGTGTTGCAGATTATTTCTATCCACTGTAAATAAAGCATTGCTACTTCTTTTTGGTCTTGGAGTCTGTTCCTTTCAGTCACAACTGGGTACTTGTCAAATCGTTACCATCAGAAAGTAAACACAGGCTGTGAGATGAAGTTTACATCATTTATTTACAGCTGAACGTCAGAATGACATCAGAGGACCAAACACATGTTGAGGGTCCAACAGGGGGCAGGAGGGTGCTACCGGAGCAGCAGGGTCCAGCAGAGGGCAGTTGCAGCAGCAAAGGCAGATATGATGAGTATCTGGTGGTTCTCAGAGGGTTTTAATGAACTATCTGTTTTAATAAAATGTTAAAATCTTCAGAAGATAGTTTCAGGGGCAAAAACTATTCTATGGGGTTAGAGGACAGAAACCCTCACAGCTTTAAGAACCAATCTGACTGAAACTTCAGGAGAAACATATCAGGCCCTGGTCCTGAAGATAATAGTGGGGTATTATATTAAAAAGGAATCAAATCCAAATATCTTTTGTAAAAATGAATGGTGGTAAGAGTTGTTTTCACCCTGGTCCCCGAGTCCACAGTTTTGTAGGGTCTGGATGTGCTCTTCTTCAACAAACCAGAATCAAAACTATGTTGTCATGTTCTGAAAAAGTTTTTAAGGACTCCTTGTTTTAAATCAGGTCTGTTGATGCAGGAAACAAAGAGGTCCTGCAGAACTAAGGGCCCTGAGAACTGAGGTACCTGAAGACCAGGACCAAGAACCACTGATGTATTCCATTAGGACCAGCCAGAACAAGAGGGTACAATGGGAATTAATGCTTCACATGAAGGTAAGGGACTAGCTAAGACAATCAGTGGGGTCCAGCAGGACCAGGTTGGTTCAGATGATACCAGAACCGGATAATACTGTCATGAAACATTGCGACCAGGAATCAGAGGGTCAGCTGGTACGAATAGGATCCAACACAAGGAAAGTCCAGTCTTTTATTTTTTTAACACCTGGATCAGAAAACCAAACCTGGATCACTTCAACAGTCCTGGATCATGGGACCACTCTTGGACAACTTGACCATTCAGTATTGTTGAACTGGTTAGTCCAGATCTGTAAGTACAGTTCTGGTTTAAAGTTCAGACAGGAGTCCACGGTGTCAGAGACCAAAGGTCAGGTTTATGTTCTTTACCTGGAAAAAATATTGTTACTTCCTACAGACTCAAAGTGACCTCAGTGACCTACGTAAGGTGAGGTCAGTGAACAAGGCCAGGCTGATTCTGGCAGATCCTGATCACCCACTCCATGGTGAGTTCAGGTCGCTTCCATCTGGATGCAGGTATCTGCAGCCCAGATGGAAGACAAACAGACTGAACAGCTCGTTCATCCCTGTAGCGTTCAGCCTTTTCAATGAACAGTGATGATTTCTGTACTGTTATTTTAATGTCTTAATGTCTAGTATGGATGTTTTGTTTGTCTACTGACTGTGAAACAAATTGCTCCTTGGGGATAGTAACACTCAGCTGAGATCTTCAGGACTCACCAAACCTGACCCTGATCACCAGTGATGGAGGAAAACTGGATCAGAGCATTTCACAAAGTTCATAAGCCAGACTTTAACATGCTTCTGCTGCGGAGGAATACAAAACACAGAAAGTCCTGCTGGTTCCCAGTCCAAGTGGTGGGCTGCAGCCTGCACACGATTCTGTCCATTAGGCCTGGTTGTTGCTGGAAGCCTCAGCAGTCGTGTTTGACTGCTACAACGAGACGAGCGCAGCCGAAACTTTCTGACTGATCCGCACCGACTATGATGTGGATCAGGAACACATTTACAGAAGAACTTTGTGACCCTTCCACAGATCGATGCAAATGCTTCCTTTGACTAACCAGGTGACGTGAGTGTAGCCAGCTTGATTGTTTCATCCTAAAACATCTGGAGTCAGTGTTATCAGGAAATTTCTCCAGATGCTCATAAATTACAGAAATGACTCATTTAACAGCTGAATATTCGGACTTTGTAAAACATCAAAACATTCATTTAAATGCTTCGCATTAACGTTGTTCTTAGACAAAGTAGAAGAGAAACTGCTGGAATCAGTTTGTAATTAGCATTTCTGACAGTTTCTCAAAATAAAAGTGTCTTAACGAGCCATCTATCAAATGCTAACGAGCAGTCTATAAACTGTCAAACATAAATGAGTGATCTCAAAAAAGTTGTTGCAGGAGCAACAAAAGTCTGTAACTGTTAGAGATCCGGATCAGAACCAGCTGGAGAAATATTTTGAGGTTAATTATCAACAGGTCAGTCAGAGGACTGGAGCTAAACAGAGACTGAGAAGTAAAGATGGGCACAGGATCAGCAGTCCGAGTACTTGAGGAACTCTTTCAGAATAAAGTCCCTGAATAAAGACTTTAATCTCCATCATCTTCAGTTCATAATCTGATCCACAGATTAGAAGAATCCGTAGAAACTGAGCTCAAAGGACGAGGCCTTCAAGTGCCACTGCACTAAAACCAGGTCTGGTTCTGTTCTGGACCTTGCTGCATTAAAATCAGGTCTGGTTTTGGTTCTGATCTGAATATTTGTATATAAATTTGTGTACAGCAGGGGTGCCCAGACTTTTTCAGCATGTGAGCTACTTTTAAAACGACAGAGTCAAAGTGATCTACCTACTGTAAGGCCCCGTTTACACGAGAACAACCTCTGGAAACGTTAGTGTTTTTTTCATGTTTATTGGAGGTAATCAACAAAAAAGAGCGAGTTTACATGAAAACACTAGTTACCAAATCAGTCAGGTTGCCAGATAAGAATTTATGAACTATAGTACTGTTGCTTTATATTTTAATTATAGTATTTTGACCTAAACTGTCATATGTGTGCCGAGTAAAATATTCTAAGAAGAGGTGTGTGTTTGTTGAACATGTGCACAGAAAAGGAAGTAAATAAGACATTTTAAATTTATTTGGCAACCCTGATGCAGCGCTCAGCTGCATTCATTGCACATGCAGCATCTGCATGACAGTTAGTTCAAACTGATGAATACACGTCGTTGGAACTTGATTTTATTAGTTTTGCTCATACATGCTGAAAAAGGGTGAGTAACACAAAAACACTCTGCTCTCTGCCATTTATTATAACTGTTGGTATTTATTATAACTGTTGGTATTTATTATAACTGTTGGTATTTATTATAACTGTTGGTATTTATTATAACTGTTGTTGGTGCGGAAAAACTTTGGACTGCAGCCGTCTGTAGTGTGCATGTGCGACTTCACATTTGTGGAGCATGTCACACCTCTGTGGGGGGGTTCCCCTGAAAATCTCCACTCTGAGACCTGGATTTAGAAATCTTTTCAGAGAAAACGAGGGCTGTGACTGGCTGCCCTGTATGTCAATCAAGTGACAAATTTCATAGACGATGATAGGCTGACATCCATCTTTTTAATGCCATGCCATCTACCCATAATACCTTTGCAACTGACCGGTAGATCGCTACTGACCAGTAGATCGCTAATGACTGGTAGATCGCTAATGACTGGTAGATCGCTAATGACCGGTAGATCGCTACTGACCGGTAGATCGCTAATGACTGGTAGATCGCGATCGGCGTATTGGGCACCCCTGGTGTACAAGGTAACGTACGGTTAACTTTCGTTCTGCCTCTCCAGATGAATGTCTTGTTGCACCTCTGGTAATGACTGATTGGTTGACTGACTGCTAGGATTGTAGTTTTATCAGCACTGTGGCATTATTACAGAACAATTTTTTATTATTTTTGAAAGTTTGTTTTCTACAATGTTCAGTTTACTATTCAGTCATTTCTGTGACGGATGTTGTTTTGATTGTTGCTGTGCTTGTTGTTGGTGTTCTTAACGTTGTTCTTGTTCGTGCTTTGTGCTGCTGTTGATGTTGCTGTTCTGCCTCTGCAAGACAACCACAACCTGAACCTGGGCAGGTCAGGGTTTTCAAAACCTTGAAAAGACGTGTAGACTTGAGATCCAGTTGACAGCCATCTACAGTAAGGGTTCACATCCAGCAGGGGGCCTGAGCTGCACAGGGACTCTACAAACAGGTCTGTGCTTCCACTCGAGGTCCAGTGTTCCACCTATCGCCATCCAGTTCAGAACCTGGCCTCAATCCACTGCAGTCGGGTCTAAACAAAGTTCAGGTTCTCACGACTGACAGCCGGCTCAGACAGAAGACTCGCGAGCTGTTTTGGATCCGAGAGCTCCAGCCCGACTCAGGAAGGGGAAGGTGGTACCAAGGCATCCAGCAGCCACTGTGAAGCCCAGACTGGCCCATGCGCAGCAAATAGACCAGCCGTAACCATGATCCACATCAGCTGGAAGACCATAGATGAAGGGTGGGGTCCTGGAGAGGTCATAGGTCACACTGGCTGCATATGTGCACAAAGAGATGGTGCAGAAGATCCCTGGAAACAGAGCAAAACCAGAGACTAGATCAGTGACTGGACCCGAGACAAGACACTAGATTCTTCTTTTATTATTTGATCTTTATTTTACCATGTGAAACGTTTGAAAATCTGTTTTCAAATTACATCCAAGAATAACCAACAAGAACGGCAGTCGGCTGTAATCTGCTTGAGTTTCAGCCTAAGTTTGTTTCAGTAAAGTTAAAATAGTAGAACTATCTTTGATAGATGTGTTTATTTTTTTAATCAGAGTTCGGAGTACTGAGACTGAAAGGACACACAGACCAGATGTTAGTGGTTGATGGAGAGCCCGTTAGCTATCACTGGAAACAGCTGATCCCAAATAGCTCCGCCTACCGCTCAGGAGCTGCAGGAAGTGATTAATATAGAGAATCATCACCTTATCTTGATGGAAGAGTTTGTGAGCCTGAATGAGCCTAGGAGCTATGCTGTCAGGGGCAATCGTCCCTGGTAAGATCTCCCAAGGCAGATTGGTCCTGGGTGAGAGGACAGACTGGACAGAAGACAGCAAGGAGCCTAATGTCCCTTGGGGGCCTTGGGGCTTTGACCATATCTTACCAAAGCCGGCTCTGGGGACATGGAACGTCACCTCTCTGGTGAGGAAAGAGCCTGAGCTTGTACGTGAAGTTGAGAAGTACTGACTAGATATAATCTGGCTCAGTTTAATGCACAGCGTGGGTTCTGGAACCAGTCCCGTCGAGTGGGGCTATACCTTATTCCACTCTGGAGCTGCCTGTTTTTAGGTGCTGGGCAGGTGTGGGTCTACGTATTGCCCCGCTGGCTTAGCACCTGCATATTGGAGTTTTCCCTGGTAGATGACGGCCAGCATTTTAGAGTCCTTAGTGTTGGCGATGGAAGGTACTCCAGTAGGGACACTGGAACTTCAATGCCCACGTGGTAAGCGACAGTGTGATCAGGAGGGGTGTGAGTGACAGGAGTGGCCTCTCGTAAAAGTTATCTATTGAAGGAAGCAAAAGGTTGTGATGAATCTTCACTTTGTCACAGTCTCCCATCCTGAGCAAGCATAAAGACGACAGTGGAAAAGAAAAGGAAGAAACCTCCAGCAGAACCAGGCTCAGGACAAGCAGTCAGCTGGGGTTTGAGAGGACAGGAAGGAGAAACACAGAATGACAGATCCAGATGTACTTTCTATAGGAGGCAAGACATAAAACACGTTAAGACAGAAAAAATTACAAACAGGTAGATTAGAGCAAGTAAAGACAGCAGCAGAGTGAGGAAATATGGTCAAGTTGTCCTCCAGCAGTCTAAGCCTATAGCAGCAGAATTAAGGGATAGCTCAAAAAACCCAAGCCAACTCTAACTATAGGATTTATCAAAAAGGAAAGACTTAAGCCTAATCTTAAAAATAAACAATGTGTCAGCCTCACGGACAGACACTGGAAGTTGGTTCCACAAGAGGAGCCTGATAACTGAAAGATCTTCCTCCTATTCTGCTTTTGGAAACTCTAGAAACCACAAGTAAACCTGCTGTGTGAGAGGGAAGTGCTCTGTTAGGAAAATATGGAACAATAAGATCTGTAATATAAGATGGAGCTAGGTTGTTGAGAGCTTTGTATGTTAGAAGTAATATTTTGAATTTGCATTTGGTACACTGTCCTCTGCTTTTCAAATGTGTGTGGAACAGGTGTGGTCACGCCCTGAGCAGTTACAAACAGGTGAACTGGTCGGACGCAAAGGTGAATGAGGTGAAGGACGACTGCCCATCCATGGCCTTTCATCAGTAATGTTCAACATCACTGTACACAGATCAGTAGTTGTAAACAGATGAAGTGATTCAAGGCTCAAATCTGAGGTATTTCCAACTTTCCATTACATAACTAATGTCAACACAGATACACTCAGGGCTTATTCATTAAATATTGTCTGATGTAAAGAGGTATTAACAAATTAATCTAATATTATTCTTATAATGGGTGTCTCAGAAAATTCAGCAAAACATTAAAAAAAACGTATATTGTCCATTTGTACATCAACTGGATCAGTGTGGTTCTGATGGAGTCGTGTTGCACAATCCTTCCTGTTTTAAAGCCTACTGCGTCTACCTGCAGGCACACGGCAGGTGCTTATTAATCAGTACATTCAAGTGTCCAAACTTAGTTTTAACTAACGAACTACTAAAATCATTGTAGTTAAATTAAAATATACCCCTGCATTGAACTGTTTGTGGGTACACTTAACAATTAATAACACAGTAATAAATCACAAAGAAGGTTAAATCATGTCATGGACAAGTTTCTTTAAGGGAGAAACGTTACACCTTTCATCCGAAAGACTTCATCAGTCTGAGGCCTGCCAACCCAGATCTGTCCCATAAACAGCACCTCCTTGGTGTGTTTCAAACCAACCTCCTGTTGAATTCCCAGAAACTGTTTCATTATTGAAATAGTCTCTTTTATTTTTGCACATAATTTCCCTTTTTTTTATGTACATCTGTGCATTTTATTCATGCTTAATGCAGTGTATAGACCAGTATTGAAAACTGTTTACTTTGCTTCTGTTTTGTGAGCAATATTGAAAGTTGAGATAAATGTATTTTTGACATTGTAAAGAAATAAAATGGCGCTAGCTTGTGAAAGACGCCAATCCATCGTTCTCTTCATTGATCCACAGCCAGTGCACCAGATCCACAGCGCTTCTTGGCCTGTGAATCACATTACTGGACCAGATTACCCTAGGTCTGGCACCGGTTACATTTGGTTACAACTGTAATGAAACAGTAATGAATCATTTCAGATTTATTTGAAATGTTCCGGCACCATACACAGCTATGATGATGGTAAACGTTACTGTTTGATGCTCCTGCCTGGAATATTCTGGCTCCATGGTAACACCTCAGCTGTGTCCATTTTCATTTCATTAGCAGTTTCCCAGCATGCCCTCTGAGCGTCGCCAAGAAACCAATCACTGTAGAAAGTGCAGGTTCTACGGCCTCAGGTGAGTTACCTGCCATCAGGAACAGGAGACCCGATACGTGCTGTGTCAGACTCTCTTCCCAGAAAAACCCCACCGACACCACAATGCTGCCGCACAGCAGGACTGCCGCTGCCATGCCCAGGAAGCCCGCTGTGATGCGCCGCAGGTCTGAGGACACACACACACACACACACAATAAGCAAAAAAATAGTTTTCATCTTTATCTTCTTCTATCAATAATGAGGCTAATAAATGCAGAATCACATTGTGTTACCATGGTAACCGCCTCCTGCTAGCCTTATTACAGCCCTCTGTACGATTACATAACCATAAGGACACGTTTCCATGGCAACCAGCAAAAAAAGCACACAAGACAGAGTTGCAAAGTTTAGCTTGAACCAAAACCTTGAATCTGAAATCGGTACACCTGGAGTTAACTCCCTTTATTTCTTTTTACAACATAAAACTGGTTCTGGTTGACTTAAATATGAACCTGAAAACATTCAGGTGTAGTGGCGGGGGGGGGGGGGGGGGGGTTACACTCACGCAGCAGGTGCCACTCATCCTGTTGGATGGTTCTGGTCAGGTTCAGAGGGATGTTCCTCAGTCTGATTGGCTGAGAGAAGTGATACTTCACAGCTGTACATCGATCTGCGATACCTGCAGAAATAAACAGATTAGTTATCTCTCTCTCTCTCTTTCTCACACACACACACACACACACAGGAAACAGTTAAAAGTGACGTCATCAGATGACAGGTGTGTTTCCTGCCGCTCTCAGTATACAGATGTTGAACCACAGATCAGTTTTTGTTACGTGATTGACAGATTGGAAGGGCAGGAGCATTCTGGGAAATATAGTGTGACTGTTTCCAGCTGTGCAGCTCATAAAAAACAAACGGCTTCAGATTAGAAATGTTGATGAAGTTCAAGTTTTTGACTTTACAGAAACAAACTGAACAAACCACCTGAAAACTGTGAGAATCTGTTTCAGAGTTTGAGATCTTTGTGTTAAAGTTGTGTTTTCTTGTGTCATCTGTTCAGCCTTTCTGGTGTTTTCCTCCGTGTGGTCGGCTGCAGCTTCTCCCACTCTCACCTGTTCTTCTTTCCCCAGGTGTTTATCTGTTGTGTCCCTTTCAGCTCAGTGTCAGGGTGATTCTTCCCCGTCCGTGGATTGAGCTTCTCACAGCCGTTTGTATCGCGTTCTGTTCCTCCGTGTTTTACGCTGGATTTTTTTTAAAGTTTTTGTTGCCACGTCAGCCTTTATTTTTTATTAATAAATTAGAATCTGTAATTTTACCTTTAAGTATCCCCGTATCTGTCTGCACTTGGGTTCAGCACAATCGCAGAACACGATAAAAAACAAATTACACCAAAACAAACCATCCCAAATAAAAAAAAAACAAGCTGAGAACACACTGCAACATGTGTTTGTTGTTTTTGATGTTGTGTTTGTTGTTGCTTTATTTGCAATTGTGTTTGTTGTTGTGTATATAGTTGTATTTTGTTTCTGTGTTCATTGTTGTTTGTTGTTATGCTCGTTGTTTTGTGTGTAGCTGTGCTTGTTGTTTTTGCAGTTGTGTTTGTTGTTGAGGTGTTTGTAGCTGTGTGTTTTGTTTGTTGTTGTGTTTGTAGCTGTGTTTGTTGTTGTTTGTTGTTGTGTATATAGTTGTATCTTGTTTCTGTGTTCGTTGTTGTTTTATAGCAGTGTTTGTTGTTGTTTTTGCAACTGTTTGTAGCTGTGTTTGTTGTGGTGTATATAGGTGTATTCTGCAGCTGTGTTTGTTGTTATTTTTGCAGCTGTGTTTGTTGCTGCTGCAGTCCGACCTCCCAACAAGGACGGGTAGATCTAATCTGGTCG